ACAATAACACTCGAACCCCTACATTTGCCGGCGCATCAAGCTCCAGCGCTTAACCCATTGCCCAAGCCATTGTTTCTCCCCCCCCCAGCGGATATTTCGCACGCCTTCGCCGCGGTCGCCTATCTCCTTTCATATTTTCCGGCTGGCCGCGGCTCGAGCTTGGATGTTTGCGTTCGCCTCAAGTGGATNCGGTCGCCTATCTCCTTTCATATTTTCCGGCTGGCCGCGGCTCGAGCTTGGATGTTTGCGTCCGCCTGAAGTGGAGGAAGAACAATTGTCGCTCCCGTAGGATTGACTCGGCGGTGGTGTAGGGCAGGTCGCGCGTTCGGAGGGAAAGATGGCGGCAGGTTAGTTCCGAACAAACCAGCACTACTGAGGAGAACCACATACCATGAACATTCCCCCCGGTTCTGCACAGTAGTGACTGCAGCAGAAAAATCAATAAATGAAACACACGTTCAAGTCGTCGGACCCTACTTGTGGAATGGTTTGTCTGAAATTGATTGATTGCCGATGCGATATCGCCACACCACAAATAGCTGAACATCATCCTGAAACGGAGGTTGATTAGTGTACATGGACGATCTCATTTTTCCGTACTCCGGAAGAAAATTGGGTGAGCAGCGGGTTTTGAACCCGTGTCTCTTGCAACCAAAAGCAGACACTTGACATCTTTTCGTCGACGCCATTGTGGAAAAAGAGGTTTTCGTCCTCGGTAGACGTTGGGGAGTTTCAACCTTTATGAAGGTGTTCTCCACACTACTAGAGGGAATTCGAAAATTTACAGTAATAAACCCTTTCGAGCGTTCTTAACCCTCTACGACTCAATTATTCCCTCTAGAGGGAATAAATGTTGCTAGAGGGTTTTGGGGGGGTAGCCGATCGGCCACGTGTGGATCCTGCAGTTCCCGCCTGAGATATTTTTATCGCTAGAAGGGTACGGTAATCCCTTCCCTCGCGACTTACGAAGTCGATCAAGTTTGCGAACAACGAGCTTTCTTTACAGCGCGTCCCTGCCAACAACGGAGACCAGGATTTAATAAACGAGAAAAAACTCACTTTGGCGGGACTCGAATCCATGACCTGGCCCTTAGCAGGCTGCGAGGCTGCCCACTAGACCACCGGGGCGACCGGCGCGGTGTGGGGGTGGGGAAGTGATGGCACCGCCGCCCTACTCGGAGCTTTCGGCGCACTTTGAATCGCCAGCCAGAAGAGTGCGCGGAGTCGTGTGGGTTAAGTAAGCGAGGCGGCGTACTATGTTCAATCAAGGCAAAGAACAACATATTGGTGAAATTGAGAGCGAAGCATGAAATTGAGAGCGAGATTGCGCGATGCGCTGCAGCTGAACTACCACTGAGAGGTGGAGCTTGCTGTGTAGCTTGAATTGAAGGGCCAGCCCGTAGCTACAAGCAGATACCCTGGTCATCCTGTGGGAGTCTCTCGATGTGGAGTTACAGCGGCGAGCAGAACCCACAGGAGAGGCCACCGCCCGAGGCCACACCGCCCTGCAACAGTTTGAGGCAGGAATAGCCACAATCTGGGGAAATCTAGCAACTTGTCTAGCTCCTAGCTGCAGCAGCATCCGATGACGATGACACGCATATGCTCGTGACGCTGCTGATGAGACCTTCAATTTGGGCCGCTTCTTGGAAAATGGGAAGAGGCGTCTGGACCCGAATTTTAATTTGGCCCTCGCTCTCAATTTCGTGCTTCGCTCTCAATTTCACCAATTAATTTGTTGTTAAAGGTAGGTGTTGTTCATCGAAGCACACTTCGCGAAACCAGCGCGACTGATATATGAGAAATAGTTTAACATGATCGTTACACAGGACAGTAGCAGAATGAAGTCACAAGCAGCGCGAGGTTCTTCACCGCTTGGGCGTGGACGAACTTACTCCGTGCCATGGTGTTTTATTTTTGTTTTTGGGGGACGTTGCCAAAATTATTTCCCCTTTCCCACCTTTCTTGTCCCCCCCCTCGGTGTTTGCCATCGGGATTGGGTTTTCGTCGCTTGGCAACGACGTTGTAAAACAAGCCATTTCACTTCGTGAGCTCGGCAACCAGGTTAGTTAGTTACCGATTTTTTCTTTACCTCTGTATTTTTTTTGGCGGTAACCGTAGTGTGGTGGTCGAGTGGATCATGTTGACAATTGTGCGGGGTGGATGGAGAAGCCTCACTCCGCGCAAGGGGGATGATCGCACCACGTTGCGTAAATGGTCAAGCATCCTCGACACAGTGCTTACAACTGTATCTGGAAGTGAAAGCACCAGAAAATACATTACGTCATACGCTACACAGTGACCCCGGTTGGGTCGTCTAGCCAGTAGAAGTGGAGGATAGGGGCCAGAGGGGCAGACGGCAGAGTCCAATGATGGGAGAGAAACAACAACAACAACGCAGCTTTCATCCGTATGCAAGGAAGTAAGCACAAGATGCCGAACACCCTTAGCAGGATGCAGCGCACCCTTCATGCGACTCGCCGAATATCTCACGGCGCTTCGCGCTTGGTGATGTGAGAGCCTGGTGGTGCGGTGAGAACCCGGCGTGCGCCGTCCCGGTTGTGTAGGGATGCGAGGTCAATGGTCTAACGACTACGGCATGCACGACGATGAGTACACCCCCCCCCATGGGCCACCTTTATTTTGGTATACTTCGCAGATAGGACTTACTTCCACGATACGTGTTTATTTTGTGTTGGTCTATGCACATGTATTATGTAGAGACAGATTGTTCAGCATGCATGCGGGAAAGACACAAGGCACCCTCTGTACATTAATTTGTTGTTAAGACATTTTTTCCTACAAACTTCGGATGGTACAACAAGAAGCTTGTTGGTTAATTGGAATGCATTCCATAATATAATATATCGAGGAACTACTCCCCGGCTGTCCACCCTAAGGTGCTTCTTCTTTCCTCTATCTACCTTCATGTATGTGACTGCTGCAGCAGCAATACGACGCACACATGACCCGATCAATCAAGAAGATTTCTGCAATACGGCCTTTATTTCGTCCCACTAGTTAGTTGTCGCTTTTTCCCAGTTTAGCGACCGCTAGTCGCTATTGAGGCCCCCGGTTTAGCAACCACTGGTCGCTAAACCGGGTTTAGCGACATAATACCCTGAATAGCGACCATATTTAGTCGTGACACTAGGGGTCGCTAAACCAGGGCCCCCACTGCTGTAGTAAGCATAATAATCTCACAGAAAAACTACCCTTCGAGACTTTTCTTTTCTGTTGCTCTCCCAAAAAGCAGGAAATAAATACTCTTCAAACAAGAACACACAAACCCGGCACAAAATTAGACCGAAGAGATGCGAAGAGAGACAAAAGTACGGAAAGGTATGAATGATTGCTGTGAAGCGCTTCTTCTGACAGCGTCAGCGAGGATCATGATGACGAGCTCGATGTACATCATCGATCGATGCGTAGTACATTAATATTCAGGAGAGGGCGGTGGAAGACGTCAATAAAAAAAGCAGGAAATACTCTTCAAACAAAAACAAACAAACCCGGCACAAAATTAGACCGAAGAGATGCGAAGAGAGACAAAAGTACGGAAAGGTATGAATGATTGCTGTGAAGCGCTTCTTCTGACAGCGTCAGCGAGGATCATGATGACGAGCTCGATGTACATCATCGATCGATGCGTAGTACATTAATATTCAGGAGAGGGCGGTGGAAGACGTCAATAAAAAAAGCAGGAAATACTCTTCAAACAAAAACAAACAAACCCGGCACAAAATTAGACCGAAGAGATGCGAAGAGAGACAAAAGTACGGAAAGGTATGAATGATTGCTGTGAAGCGCTTCTTCTGACAGCGTCAGCGAGGATCATGATGACGAGCTCGATGTACATCATCGATCGATGCGTAGTACATTAATATTCAGGAGAGGGCGGTGGAAGACGTTGAATAAAAAAGGATTTGTGCACGAGAGGCGAAAAACGGCTTCAGCTGGGATTTGAACCCAGGACCTCCTCAACCCAAATGAGGAATGCTAACCACTACACCACAGAAGCAGGTACTCGTGGTTTTCGTTTTGTGAAATTTTTCTTTATATATCAAGCGTGCTTGATTCGAGGAATTCGTATCTACTCATGTCTTGTACAGCAGCCGTTGTCATGTTGAAATCGCTTTGCAGCGCTACTACTGTAGCCAGAGCTATTTTGTGCGTCGGGGATGTGTGTATAGCTGTGCCCCCCTAATCTCTTAATACGGACCAACTCTCTCTACCTCGTGAGTCACACACGATCAATCATCATGGTCATCCTTGTTGGGCGGTAGAGTGACGGGCTTGTAAGTCTGCCATGTAAATCACAGCGGTGTGCTCTCGAACAGCAGTGTGCTCTAGTAGTCTAGTCGCAAGATGTAGACTAGACTACAGAAGATTATTACTGAGTGTACACCACTGCTGTGCAGCAAGCAGCATTGGTATATCTTGCTGCAAGGAAGGGAGTCACAAAATTGTCACTTGCCCGAGATCTAACAAACGAAGCTCACAACTCCAACATCCAGGCACACATTATCTGGGATGATATTTACAGTTTCCACAGCGCCGAAGTATACAGACATTTGTTAGACGTCAGATTCAAAACGCACCGCACCAAAGACATATCGTCTATCTAGACTAGTCTACGCACATGATGAGTTGAACGAAAAATTGTCATGTTTGGAACCACAAGCACGATTTTGACTGCGCTGTTTACATTTATTTTACGATGATTTCACTACTTAGTCTAGAATAGACTATATACTTCCTCTGTATCACAAGTTAGGGTACCTAAATTTGTACGGGCCCTTAACCGTGTCCGATCTGTTTTTCGATTTTTTTGTTGAAATCTTCGGAGTTTTTTTAGCAAGAAACATTTATTTTTATTTTTATGCATGCGCCACCCCGCGTGCATGATGAGCGCCCGAGAAAAAACCAGTCGACCTGAGAAAGGCCGTATTTTGCATGTATTCTGCCCCCTCCGACCAGGCGGGGGGGGCGGGGCAATGACAAAAACAAGGCAAAAATACCAAGAATTATCCCTGACCCTAAACCTAGCCCCCCCTCTGCTCAACGATCCATGACGCGTCTCCCATACTAAAAAACAGCATAATAGTTGCCACCACACTGAAAACAAGACACTTTGGGGGACCACACTAAACCCAAGACACTTGCGGGGCAAAGCAAGCAACAGTAGGGCCCTCATCCAACCCCCCCCTCTACTCAACGATCCATGTCGCGCCCCCTATACAAAAATCAGTATAGTAGTGAACCACACTAAAACCAAGACACTTGGGGGGGCACACTAAAATCAAGACACTTGCGGGACAAAAAGAAGGGTTGGTTGGTGGAGGGGAAAAAAAAGAAAAACTCGACAATTTCTACCGCCATGGCATAGCGCCTACCAACCGATAATTCGGTGCCCCTTTTGCGAGGTGGTGTGCTGGGGGGCGATTCCATCGCTAGAGTGAGTAGTGGGCCGGTAGGGTACTAATATTAGATGGTTTTGAGAATTTTGTCGAGAATTATCAAAAAAAATCCCAAAATATTTATCAAAAATATTCCCAAAACAGGCCAAAATAGGGTATATTTTGACCAATATTAGGTACAGAAATAGATGTTCGTTTTTTTTAATTTTTTTTTCTATCGCTTCTTCTTTGTTATATCTTTCTTACAAACCCGACTAACACGGTTGCACCCAGACAATCTATTGCATTTAGGTACCCTAACTTATGATACAGAGGAAGTATATATATATATATATGTTGTCTCCCATTGTTGGACTCTGTCGTTTGCCCCTCTGGCCCCTATCCTCCACTTGTACCAGCTAGACGACCCAACCGGGGTCACATAGGAGGGGGGGGTTGGACCCCCTCCTGCGGTTCCTGCCTGAGGTATTTTTATCGCGAAAAGGGTACAGCAATCCCTTCCCTATATATTCCCTTGGCAACCAATGGGTGGATATACTGTTTTTTTTGTCTGTCACCAACCACACTCGACCGACGAAGAACGCCACATAGACTATACATAACAGCAGTAGTCGACAAACAAACGTATGTATGAGCATTCATGTGGGCATGCTTCTTGTCCTCCTCCTCTCCTCCCCCCCGTGCTGCCATTTCAATCCTACAAAAAAAAGCAGCACGCATAGTCTAGGACATACATAGTCTCATCAATCTCGCTTCACAGAACACGTCACGTGGGTATAATTGCTACGTGCGCGTCTTTGCTCCACCTCCCTCCGCGAGCCATGATCGTAAGCAAGTCCCCGGTCCATTCCCGAAATGGCGATGATAACAAACGTGACGTCCTTCTGCTGGATGAACAACAATGAACGGCGTCTGTTTGTCTTCGGATCGAAGGCGTCCTTCTGGAAGACTAATAATATGTCGATGTGTCGTTCAAGTCGAGGGCTTTGGGGCCCTTGGATCTCTGCCGCTGACGGTTTCAAGAAACATCAACTACAGTAGTAGAGATACATAGAGTGAATCAAGCAGCGTAAATTATGTATCTTCGTACATGTAGCTACGGTCCGAGCCACGATCGTCCCGGCCCATTGTTTACCGAAACGCCGCCACCTACACAAGGAACATTTTGTTTGTTCCAGAACTTTCGGCAGGAGAGCCAGCCGCTTGTTAACTTAAGCAGCCTGCCTGACTGACGAGAGCGGGTAGGGGGCCGGTGGGGGGGGGGGCACATGCGCACAAGCAGCAAGAACGCGGCCAGCAAAACCAGCCAGGCTGAAGCTCAACAAGCCAGGAAGAAGGTGGCTGCTCGAGCTGGTTGCTCGCTGCAACTGGGCATTATTATCGTTCCCATCGTTTGTGGTACCACGAAGTTCGCTCTTGAACACGGAATGGGCGGGGTCAAGCGAGCGCCACACTCACGGGAAGCACTGTCTATTGTTTGGGGCGTCACGAGGCGCTCAACGCTGTTCCATGTGCATCCATCCACCGAATCCCCCGCTGAAACCGTTCTCTTCGACAAAATAAGAATGTTTTCTCTTGTTTATCACCCCCCTCCCCTCCCCCTCAAATTGATACGACTAATTTACGCGAGGGGGTGCGGAACACGAAACGCACATGCAAATCGCAACCTTGCTCTACAACCAAACGCGTGTTCTTATTATGACAACAGCCCGACACGCCGACCTGCAAAGCCGAGTCTAGACATGACAAGCACACAATCTCCGAGCGGGAAAAACCTCGGGGACGACCAGAAATATGCCTCATCACGCACAAGACCCACCTCCACATACATACATACGTGGGTAGGGCTAAAATCACATACAACATCGCTGGGGAAAACTCCGTGAGAGAAAGCACGCTGGAAACACCTCCTGCACACGAAGGTCGGTCGGTCTTCCCTGTATTTTGGGAGGCAGCGCAAAGGCTACGACAATCTCATCTCCCAAAGCCTGCTTCCAAACGCCGTACGTAGTACGCTTACTAAGATGCTCCACGACATTATCCTGATTCCATTTATATGATCTGGTACATGTAACCTAGACGAATAATGACGGCGGTAGGATAAAACACCACCTATTTACCTACTGCATACAGTCCCATGATGCTATCATTGTCGGGTGTGGAACCAAAGAAAAGAAACCATGGAAAAACGGTTCTTGACACTTTTTTTGCCTACTACGCTAAAACTTAATGTGCGTCAAATATGAAGAACGGCCGCAGGTTAAATCAACATCCCTCGGAATAAAAATTGAACCGAATGCTATAGATTGGGAGGGCCTCAGCCCCCCTCCAAAAAAACGGCTCCAGCACATATATACACACCACATCACTGAAAACAACGGGGGCATGGGTGACTTTACCCGCCCGACAGCAACACCTCGACTAGAACGACAAGAAACAACGAACACACTACTTCCGCGTTCTGCGCAAAGTCTCGACAACACAGCCATCCACTAGTCATTCCCTGATTAAACGTGAGGAGGGGTGGGACCAACGGGATCTCAACGACTCGATTATGGAACAATAGACAAGAGACCAAATGGGAAAAAAGGAAGCGCCTACACATTGATTCTCACGCGTACGACCCACCCGTAAAACGTCCCAAACACACAGGACAACTACACCGCCCTGCACGAGAGCGGTGAAGATGATGATGAGGCCAGCCGGGTGTACCTACCACAAGGAACAAAACACACGCATTACCGACGACGTCTGTCTTTTCATAGGTCAGCCGGTTTTTTCAATCGCGGTCAGTCGATATGCTAAATTAAGAAAAAAAGACACACGCGTCATACATTTTGCAAAACGACGAACACACTACACGTGGTAGTAGTATATGCCTTTTTTTTTGCACTTGCTGGAAATATAGCTTCAGCCCAAAGAAAACAGCCTCTCCCCAACCGTAACATCGTTGTCCGTGACAAGCATACACCCCCTGCGCACTTGCCCGAGCGCTCAGGGACGGCACACGAACGACGGGAGACACACAAAAGCTTATGCGGCACGATGATAGCGGGGACACGTCCGCCAGTGCTCCCCGCGATGTACATGACAAGAACCAAACCGGTTACCTTATACCCATCACCTATTCTCTCTTGCACACGCCTAACAAGCACCCAAGACAAACAACATGAAACTAAACAAAGAAAAGGCAATTGCATCGGGACACGAACCAAATAACACAAGACAAACATCAGAGGAAAGGCGGAGGATTCAAGTATCCAAGTATGGCAGTACTGCTGCTGTAGTGCGCAAAACACACCCAACCAACCTCCGAAACTAAACTATGATACAAAAAAACAGCACAGTCGGGAGACGAAGAACAAGAAACAGACCATCGGTCCCGGTGCCTAAAAGAAGACCAGGCAGGCAGGCAGGCAGGCAGGCAGGCAAGCGGGCAGTTGAGATCAAGTTACGGTCACAACGTCCAAAGCAATTTGTAGCGAAACGTCGACCGCCACTTTCGTTTCAGATCATCTTCTCACTTTCTCTTCCCCACTCTCCCGCGGCGCAACAACCCTCGCAAGCACGCTGCCCCCCTCCCACCAAACCACAAAGAACGCCGTCAATCCGGCTCCCAGCCTTCCGTTGGTGATCGAGGGAAACGCATGAACACGGAAGAACGTCGCACACCGTTCGACCCACGCCACAGGCTTATACATTGTTAGGACGCGAGGCGCTTTACAGCCAACTGGAACACGACATTCGTAAAAAAAAAAAGCTTACGTACAAGACAACACGATTGATTTACCTCCCCCCCATCCTTTAAAAAGTCTAGGTCCGTGGCGCACCAAGCAGTGACTGATAGAACTCCTTTTACCCACGAACAACTTATGAACCGGTTGATCACCCCTCTCTCTCCTTCTCCCTCTCTCGTACCGCACGATATCTGTACTTGTGCTAGCGCGACAACAAGAGGGGGAGATGCCCCCGCCTCAGCTACACTTCTACACGAGACATTCATCTTAAAAAAAAAAAAGTTTTTGCCAGTATATGTTGCACTCGTCCACAACGGCAAAAACAACGAAAAGGACACTGCAAAAGGTCAACCATGAAATTACAAAAAGGTAGATGCATCAACATGTACCACACACATGTTCTTCGCCGTGCGCTGTACGCGTCGGCGTATGTTTCTCCCAGCAGAAAAGAAAAACATAAAAAAATAGGGGTCACGGTCCTTCTCCCGCAGAAAAAGAAAAACGCTCCCCAACACATGGTGCCAGTTCGTAAAGCCATCCCAAGAAACAAAAATAAAAAGGGAGTTGCGCATCTCCTACCACGACAACAACAAAACAAGCTCTACAATCACATGGTGCGATTTCATGACCACCTGCCGAAAACAACCACGGGGATCGCCCACGAAATCCAACCCCCCTCCCACAAGAAACAAAGCCTTTGAATACGCGCTGTTGCATTGTCTTCATTTTTCTCAAGAGACTATTGGGCCGCCTCGCTACAGCTCCCCGAACCGCAACCACCTGCGACACATCATCATGCCAAATCACGGGCTCTACCGCTACCCTAATACAAGCCATGAGCTACCTGTCCTCACGCATACGCGCGGTCCTGTGCCGAAGGGTAAGGTGACTCATCCATGTCTCAACATGCGAATCATCGTTGGTGTCTGCCGTGTAGCGTCACCACTCCTGTCAACAAAACATTACCGAGCACGCCGCCGGTGGAACTACCGTTGTCGCCAATCGATCCCGCTCTACCAAGCTTGCGCCAGTGTCGGGGCGGTTGCGGCGGCGGCAGCGGCTGCGGCGGCTGCGGCGGCAGCACTGCCACGACGGTTGTTGACCTTGACGCTCTCCATCCCCTCCAGGCGGTGGTGGGCGCAGCGCCTGGCCTTGCCGTCGCCCTGCTTCCAGCCGAAGCTTGGGTGGCGGTCGCAGCCGCCCTGGTGGTTTTAAGAAAAAAAAACACACACGCAGGAAAGGCAAGTCCGTGGGGTGTTTAGTGTTGGTGTCGATTTCATGCTGGTTTTTCGTTCGTTCCTTCGGCCGAAACACTCGAAAAGCGAATCCACATTATTTCTGGGAAAATTACATCCAATCAAAGAAAGACTGCTATGGTTTGTTCGGGTTATTATCGGTATCACGTGGTGTTCGTTCATTTGTTCGTTCAGCCGAAGCAGTTGAAAAGCGAGTCCACGTCATTCCTAGAAAACATGCATACGCAATCAAAGAACGACTACCCTTTCGAGGAAAAACCACAGTAGAAGGGGATGTGGTAAGTCAAGTCTTTGCTGTGGCAAGGCGAATCCACAATATTTGTCAACAAGTCGTTCCGATGGCCAGCAAGCATTTCTACCTCTCCAAGCCGGAAGATAATGCACTGCTGTGTCGATTTCAGTTGTGATCTTGGTTCACTCCTTAATCAACCGTGGTCCCTTGTTTTCTACCCCTTGAGCCTTGCCACGCCACTGCTGTACATCTTCTTCGCCTGAGAGAAAGACAAGCAAGTTACACCGAATAAGAAACTGACCTCGAAGTTGCAGCGCCTGCTGACAACGTCGGTGTGGCCGGGGTCCTTGTGAGTCCTGCAGAACATGGCGCGCTGGCCGGCCATGGCGTACAGAGGCCGCCGCACGCACCCCGGGTGTTGGCAGCGCCTGCTCACGACGTCGATCATGCCCGTCGCCTTGTGCCGGCTGACGGGTACAGGAAGGCGCGCGGGGGTGGAGGGGGGGGTCCGCGGAGATATTAGAACATCCACATGAAAACCTAGACCCATTCTTCCACATCAGTCGGGAAAACAATGCGTGCATGGTGAAAGGTATTATGAAAAGCGAAGGAACAAGCTCCGCAAGCAGAATCAATGGCGCTGTGTGTCCTATCCCTACGGGAAAAGTAGTGATATTTTGTGTCCTGACTAGCAGAATCAGCACCCTCCGCCCGCCCACCCCGTTGCTTGTCACTTATCAACTATGAAGTGTCATACGATAACATGATGGGTATTCAACAAAGAGAAAAACCATGAAAATAGCACTGCTGATGGAAGGTAAGAAAATGCGTTCTCCTACGTTCCACAAACGCTTTGCGCGCGTCTGTTTCTGGCGCTCTCACCAGCAGAAGGTCGCCCTGCGGTCGCCCTGGAAGCCGAAGTTCGGGTGGCGAAGGCAGCCGGTGGCTTGGCAACGACGGCTGGAGACGTTTATCATCTTCGGGAGCTTATGCTCGGAACAGAAGGAAGCCCTTTGGTCACCCTGTGAGCACCAAGGAAACACACGTCAAATCCGGAAGGCAGCAGTGTCCGAGGAAGACTATTGTGTACTCGGATTTTTTGTTTTTGTTCGTTGAGGTTTGCTGGATTTTTCGACTCAAGAACACCGTCAGCTGGGCGAGTGGTCGAGCCTGGGAGACGCCACAACTGGCAGCTGGCAGTCAAGTCAGTTTGAAGCTGCCTGCGTTTTACAGACATAATCATTTACCGCCATTTCAAATCCCCGGGCATTACCACTACCAGTACCCGAAAAGGGAACCAACGCGTAGAGAACTGTACGGTATGTATGAGTGAGTGAGTAAGGTTTGGGCTGCGGCGTGCATCACCAAGTGAAGGGGTCAACGTTGAAAATGCTACGCTGAGGAAGGAACTTGTCGGAGAGGAACTACGAGATACACAAGTTGAATTTTGTGACGGGCGGGAGAGGAGTGTGTGCCTACACTAACCTGGCCACCGCGAGGGCCTCGCCGACAAGCTAGGCAGAATGCGAGCGAGTGGTAACCTTCCCCGACGGCGCGGCGATGGTCGTCAGAGCTCGATTCTAGATGCGGGCGAGGAGGGCTCGTCGAAACGAATCCGGCTACCGTTACGTAGCCCACAAAAAAAATGCCCCACCTACTAGGCGTCTGAACGAAAACGGCAAGCAAGCTCGAGAGGGTGCTTTCGGTGAAGACAGCGCTTCATGTGTGTCGATGTCTCTCGGCGATGTAAGCGTACCTCCATCCCAAAACTCGGCTGGCGAAAGCACGACTCGTGACGGCACAGAGGATGCCTCACGTTCACCATCTCTGCGGACCTGTGGCGGAGAGGGGACGGACGGAGAGAGGGAGAAAACGAGAGGAGGGCGGATCATCGCAAACAACAAGCTCCAATAAACATTGCGGCGTCAGGGGCGGCGTCGTTGGAGACGAACGCGTGGGGGACTTTGCTCGCCGATGAATGCTGTTCGTCTTTAGCTACCGGCTTGACTGAAATCACCGGATGGGGCTATTCATAAGACAACCACCTCTCGGGAACTTATCCCCACGTACGGGAAAATCGCAAACTTCAACGCCGCTGAAAAAAATGAACAAGCCGCGAGGAGGAAAGGCCCGCCCGGGCGTGCCTACACGCGACCATCACCGATCACCCATCGGTGATCTGGCGTATCAAGTCTCGTGGTAAAAACAACCACAGCCCGCCCCGGCGTCACGAACGTACTTCTCTCGGGAAACAATTTATCTTTTCGTGGATTAATGCATGTGCGTACCGGTGGATCGGGCAGCACAGAGCCTTCGTGTCACCCTTGAAGGCGTAGATGGGGCGGCGGTGGCACCCGACGTCCCTGCAAGCCTGCGCGCCCTTGGGCGCGACTGTAGTCCCGGTCTCCTTGCTGCTTCGATTTTTTCACGCGTTTGTGGTCGAGTGTGGGCCAAGAGATGAGGACACGCGGGATAGTTGATTATCGGCTGCTTCGTGCTCATCCGTTTGGTCATGTGTGGGCGGAGAGAGAAGGGCATGTCAATAAAAAAACACCGGCGCAAGTTGTTGTTGCGCGAGACACAAACATCAGTCATCTCCAGAAAATAGCTGTGTGCGCACGTGCGTATCACAACCTGTACTCGGAAAGGAGAAACTATCCATACAATCCCTGAGAGTCTATCCAGCTGTTCAAGATGACACCACAAGCAGATCGAAGGGCATTTGATGAAGAGCTTTTGTCTATGGGAGGGCGAGACTATCATTGCCACACGCACGAGCGAAACAAAAAAAAATTTTCCGACACAAAGCACCCCCTTCACAACAACTTCCCGTACCCGCCTCCCCCATCACCCTGAGTTTCAAGCGCTCAAGCCTCCTCCTCCTGCATCGATCATACAATGCAAAACGTTACCAAAGAACATTGCGTCTACATTTTTGAAGGCGCACATACCTCCTGTCCACCCGCTGGCGCATCCCCGTAGAGGGGCGTCGGCCGCCACCGCCGGCGGTGCCGTTGGGGGCGACGCCGCCCCTGCCGTGCCTCGTCATGGTGGTGGGGGGGCCCACCGCGCCGCCGCCCGGGCGAACGATCTTCACCGCCGGCGGCAGCGACATCTGCAGCGGCAGTGGCGATTGAATTTCCTCGAAGGAATCGCGAAACCTCTTCGACCCCACCACCACCGCGTCCGATGACGTCGACGGCTCCGTGGCCGCCACCGCTGCCGCCGCCGCGGCCGAGGCGTGCCCGTTGCGCAAGCCCAGCACCCGCACGGCGGCGGCGGCGTCCTCGCGGTCGGCGGCAGCGCCACCGCCGCCGGCGCCTCCGCCGTCCACGTCGCCGGCGCGCGGCTGCCGCATCTCGTGCTGCTGCTCCCAGTCGTGAGAGGTCGTGGACGTTATAGACACGCGGCGGAAGGGGATGTGATCAGGGTCCGCGGCGGCAGAAGAGGCAGGGAAGTCGCCGCCCGCCGCCGTTGCCGGGTAGAAGCCGTGGTGGTTGTGCTGCAGCGCGGGAGAGGAGCCCGTCGACGAGAACGAGCCCCGCGAGCTCGCCTCGGAGACCGCCACCGCCGCCATCTCAGGGGACCCGAGAAACGGGCGGTAAGGCCCGACGCCCGTCGTCACGGCGGCGCTGCCAGCGGCGTTCATGAAGTCCTGGTGCTCTTCGGCCGACGTCTTCCTGGTACGCTTGTACGGCAGGGGGGCGCCGCCGCCGCCGCCGCCGTCCGCAGCGGCGGTGCCGGTCAGCGGCGGGAGCGGGCCAGTCTCCACCAGCACCGCCGGCAGCGTGGACACCAGCGACGGCGATATCTCGCGCGGGTGGTGGTGATGGTGGTCCAGCTTCTTGAGCTTCCCCCATGCGGACTGCTGCTGCTGCTGCTGTTGCTCCGTGGCGGTGGGGGGAAGGTGGCGTTGTTGGCGCGGCGGGGAGACCAGAGCACCATTATCGCCGACGACGCCATCGCTGCCGCGGCCAGCAGCGGCGGGTGTAACGGCAGCAGCAGGACTGGGCACCTCGTTCTCCGTGTTCCAAAGGCGGCTGCGGCCTCCCAGATCCGCGGTGGCGCCGCTGCTATCGCCGTACTGCGTCGCGAGATCGGGGTGTTGGAGGTGGTCCTTGGGCTGCTGTCGCTGCTCTTGCCGCTGTTGTTGCTGCTGCTGGGCGGTCGGCGGCGGCGTGGAAGCTGCCTCGTATCCTCGCTCAGCAGCAGAGACAATTACTTGCTCCTGCTGTGTATATGGGAAATCGATCACAACGGGCAAAACAAGAGAACCGGTAGGACAAAGGGCCACGGTCGTTGTCGTTTCAGCGACGCGGACGCGACGGCGCATTGCTCGGCAAACTCACAGGCACACGGTGGCTGCGCTTCTTCGGAACCCAGTCAGAAAGTTCGGGGAAAAGCACGGGGAATGGCTTGGCCCGGCCACACGTGCAGAAGGGAAAACGACAGGCTGACCCAGACAAGGACGGAAAGATGTGAACCATGTGCATGACCCTCCGTCTACCGGTCGTCCAAACACGAACGGAAGAACCCATTTCCGTCAGGGAGGTCAGATGGTAGAGGGTTCGAAAACGTCGTCATTTCCTTCTCTGCGCCCGCAACGCAACCAATAATAGCGCGTGGCCGAGACCCCTCTTGCTGGGAACCTATAATAACGTGGACTAGGGGACGGAGGGCGGGAAGAGCACTTTGGCGTTGCTGCCTCGCCATTGCTATTATTGCGTGTCTTCCTTCCGTCTTCCAAAAAAACAATTGACTACTGTAACACAGCAAACAGTCATTTATTCGTTGTCACACCAGCCGTTACAAATACCGCGTCTTTCTCGTTGTTTTCGTAGGCAGGCCGCATCCTGGGAGAAAACTGGTCCTCCTCCACCCAAACCCCTCGAGACGACGGCTCTCGCTGGGCGCTGCCGGCCTCACGCGAGCGTTCCTTTTGCTCCTCGTCGACTACACGCGAGGAGCGCCCGCCCGCGGCGGCGAGGGGCGGCACGCTCGCCCGCTGGAAGCGATTGTCGACTGCCGCCGGTCGAGGGAACGGGGGCCGCGGGAGCAACAACTTGCCAGCGGCGGGCGGCTCGCCTGCTGTTGAAGCGGCAGAACGGCTGCTGTTGCTGCTGCTGCGTGAGTATGGCGCGCAAGGGACGTACATTGATGCGTGGCCGAGGATGATAGAGAGGTTCAACCAGTAGATGAGACCAGTACGGAACAGAAGAACAAACAAACAACGGACGACGCGAGAAAGAAGAGGACGGCCGACAGACAACAAACAGACCAAGGCAATCGCGACACGAAAGGGACCGACCATGACGGCCGCCCACAATCATCACGGCCTTGGAATAATTTTGGTGCTGCTGCTAGAAAAGAAGTATGTAACTGATTTTGTATCGGGTTGTGTAAGGCCTACAACACGTTCGAAGGGAAGGAAGGGGGAAAATTATCGTGAAAAACTGTCCTGCGATAGCGTTACCTTGGCGACGCTCCGTGGGAGGGGGCAACCCACTGCAGCCCGAGGTGGCTCAAAACCTCTCCGGTAAGCGCGTGTTTCTCCTCAACCAACCGCTCCCTGTACTGCGAAAACGTCGCTGCGCTCTGCCGCCATGCAACATGTAGACCATGCGTGGGGCGTTGGGGTGTTGGGGGGTGGGCGCGTAAGCACTCACCAAGGCCTGATCGCCTGCTGCCATAACAGGAAGCAGTTACTCCGGAGTATATTGTTTCAAGCGGGCGGGCGAGGAGACGGAAAAACACAGACTAAAATGGGCAAAAAGTTTACGCGACCCGCTGATGTTCCATGATTAACAAACGTGTTGCGCCACACCTCGGCGCCAAAACTCCAAAGGAAAATCCACCGGCAACTGCGGCTTCAGCTCAGCAGCCGCTTAACGGCCTTCTATTCCGTACAAGGGACATGACCACGTGTATGTTAATGTTCGTTTTGTGGTGCATACCCTCACGCCAGAAATCGTCGTGCTCTCCATCCGGAATATAATCCACATGCTCTTAAATAGATTCGTTGCCTGGATTGTCGAAAGGCGAGGATGTGACGTCGTCGCAACCAACGAAAGAACACAAAACAAATGTACCAAAGTTTTGATTGTCTCCTATACTGGTGCTGTAGTTTGCTTGCTCGCCCCCCCCCTCCCGCCCTGCAGAATTATATTTTCAGCAACAAATGAAAAAAGCTGAATTAGTTTCCGCGGATCCATGAACAAAGCATGGCGCAAAAGGAGAAGCAGCATGCACCGACTGAAATCATCGCAGAGAGTTACTACTGCTGGTCACGCTTGGAACCTAAACGTATGGCAAACCTGCTCCTGTAGCCACTTTCGTTCGCGGGACCTTGGGGCCATGGCCAAAAAAGAAAAAAGGGGACAGGAACCTTGTGAGTGCGTGGACTGCACGCAAGAAGGACATGAACAAATATTTTCGAGGCCTTTCTACACCATACACTTAAAAAAATGAAGAAGATTAAACTTTTCCGCAGCAACGCATTCATTCGTACTGTGGAGACCATCATGGCGATCACACTTGTCCAGATACAACACACCCGTGAGGGAGCTAGCCGTTTCAGCTGTGCTGCTTGCAATCGTGGCGGCGGTGGTGGTAAGTGGCGTGCGTGCACGCCACCAGAACGGAACAAAACAATCGAGTGCGCCTGTCAGCACCCAAAGCAACACGAAACACACGCCTACGTTCTGTCTGCCACCCTATTTTACCGCGCTTCATCTGCTGCCCCTTTGGTCCCGCTGCAAACGCCAACAACCAACGGCAACACCGATCACGCATCATCCTGACCGGTCGCAATGCGTACCTCTTCTCTGCCCCCCCCATCCCCGTTCGTACCTTGCCATTGATGCCGCTGCGGTGCTGCCAGTATCCTGTTTCCACAGACGCGCAGACAGCGGTTGCCTGTCGCAGCTTCTCGCGGGCCTATATATTTTGTTGTGATGATTTTACGCGAAAAAAAATAAATTGACCGAGTAGATCGGATCGAGCGGCGGCAAGCAATGAAAGCGCGTGTTGTTGGTGGTGGTAAGAGGGGGAGACAGACAGATGAACGGTCGAAAGTGCCACTTGCTTGCTTATGGCCTCGGAAGAGGCGGTGGGATACAGCGGCAAGCAGGATACTACACAGCAGCAGCAGTTGCCAGTTCCCGCGAGGGGGGTGGTGGCCTCAGCAGGCCCGGACGAAAGCTACGACCTCCAGCGGAGCAGTCGCAGCTTTTACAGCTCTCGCGAACGCACAGAATATCACAAGATGATTACGAGAAGGAGATGCGTGGGGCACACACCGACAAGATGACAAAACACTCCGTCTTCACGCAAAACGCGACGGCAAGGATCCACCTCGCGCTTTTGCCAACAACGCCCTGAGATGCCGCGTGCTTGCTGCGCGGCGTGCTTAATTGAACGGCAATCTAACTGGCAAAGGGGGGCTAAGCTTTTATGCAACGCGCCCAAAAATTCCAACTGGCCGGGTCCTTTTCACTCTTTGTCTTTCTACTGAAAAGGCCCGGAAGGAGACAAGTGAACAGCGTTACAAGCAGGCTTCAGCGTTCAACGAACGCGAGGCAGCACCGCCACAGCAAACGCGCGACCCGCAAAGCAAGCGGGTCACGAGTTCCTACAATCGAGCACACACACACACACACGCACACACACGAGCAGCAGCAGGTAACTTCTTTGCTGTCCCTGTACAGAGGGGGGTTGGCGTCCCTCATCATCATTCCGGCGGCAACAGACGAACAACAAGCAAATTACTAGGCTGAAAAAACTCCTTCACCACCGCAACAACAACAACGACAACAACAACGCACGCCTTTGTGCCGCGTACCCCAAATCACCTGCTCCATTCCGAAGCTCATCGTGTTGCTCGTAGCTCCCGGTCGTGCGCACACAACACGATCCTTGCCGAGGGAGGCGCTTTGAGGAGGCGAGCTCACGTCTTCGCCAAGGGCAGGAACAGCGCCGGTAGAAGCACACACCCGTCCAAACGTCCAGACAGCAGACAAAGAGGCACTCTTGTTGCCAGCCAGACTTGACAGACAGAATGACGGAGATAGACGGCGAAAAGAAGAGACGATGATAGATCCGGTGGAATAGGTGATGAAATAGCGACGGCCGTCGGGGATTTCGGGGTGTTGGTCGGTGGCGTAGGGGCAGCACGGGGTGGGAGGAGGAGGAGGAGTAGCGGCGGCGGCGCCAGTAGGGAATTTCCCTCTCCTGCAAAAACCTTTTTTCGGGATTGTTGAAGGTCAGAACGTCACCGGTTTTTGATTGAGTTGTAGCTGCGCACCTGCTCCTTCTTTTCAGCTGCTGTTGTTGTGTTTTTGTGTGCGGGTGTAAGCAATCGGCAGGCCGTTCAACACTTCTTTCGGCCCCTGCAAACAGGGCTCAGGGGGTCCATGTCGCAGTCTGAAAAGAACCTTAATTTCGAGTGGCCACCCCAACCGCACACCCAAGGGTCAAGGGGTTTCTCCACGCTGTTCAAATTCTGAAGGCAGATGGGTGATCTACGCCGCAGCGGGGGCGGCCGGGGCCGGCACCATGAGACTAAAGCTACAATACCACGCGTGCGCCCATACAGGTGCGCGCGCCGGCTACGTCCCAACCACTCTCGCTCTCTCTCTCTTGCTCTCCCGTTGTTTCTTTCGTTCGTATCCTCTCATCAGGCAGGATTTCAGTCATCATCATTTCAACCTTGGACCAAAAAAAGAAGAAAATCAAACATCTCCAGTCAACGGCACACACACACGCATGAACACTTGTGCATGAATGACATGTGCAGTGTGCAGCAACACTTCTGCATGAATGACATGTGCAGTGTACACACGCACGCACCTGTACAGATATGGCTCCGTGTTGTCGCTGCAAGAATAATAAGAACGAATTTGGAAATACCTCCACGTACAACAGCAGAAGAACAACGAACAGGTGGATGAGCGAGCGCACCACGAGGCTGCCAGCTCCCTCGGTGTTTGTTACACGGCCCAAAATGATGCCCCGTCAAGATCCATCAAGCCAGCTGAATACGCGGTAAGGTTGTACATGGGATAAATAGAGTACGCCAGACCTGGACCTCCGGATCCACAAATATATATTTTTTTCTGGTATCCCTGTTGAGAGGCCCATCCCGTTTGGGAGTATGTCCAAGCTGCGATGCCCCCAAAAACCGTTGCCCAGTTGCCGATGCGCTTGGTGTGTGCTGCAAAGAGAGCGGGACAGGCAGCAGAGAGAGATAAAAAAGAGAGAGAGAGGGAGGGATAACGAGGTGAAAGCACAGGAATTCAGCGCCGATTGATTTGCGCCTTCGACCATGCCGACTATGTCGGAGTCGGAGGTATTCGAGCTAAAGCTTGAGATGCAGCACCTCCAGGAAAAGCTCACCTTTTTGGCGGGAGGCACCAACGGGGCGGAGCTTGTGGCAGTGGTGATGGAGAAGGACGCGGAGCTTGAACAGATTGTGAGTGAAAACGTGAAGTGCAAGCGTCGAGAGAAGTCCGTGGGCCTGAGTCCTCCAACGCTGGGTGTTTCTGGTCATACAGACAACGTGCCACTCGTGATGTTGTACGAGACAGCAGAGATGTCGCTTGCGTGTAAATACAAGTACAGCAGTAGCTTTGAAGTCCATGGATACCTTGGTCATCAGTTGGCCAACAGCAGTGCCACCACAACCGTAGCAGCGGTGTCGTCGCGACACTCCTCGCAAATCGGGATGGGACACGCTGCGCATACCTCATTTAGTCTGTGCAGTCAAACCTCCCGCCTCCTCCCTCGAGAAAGTCTTATCATGGTGTTGCCTGACTACGTCGCTGAATGCGCAAGGGCGGTTAACTGACCGTTGGAACTGAGTTCCCAACATAATACAAGAAACACTCTCGAAGATACCGACAGCAGTAGTACAGTGCACGGAGCGGTGCTTCACCCATCCCTCAGATTCTGGGCCCCGAGGCTGGGTGCAGTGCTCTACGCTGCTCAGTGTGCGCGCATACTCCTGGCAGCCACTCAGAAACATGTGCGTAGTCCCATACGCACAGAACAGCAAACAGCAAACGAGTGACCTTTCGAGCGATGGAACATACACGAGCTTCACTGGGCAGTGCTGGCACAAGCAGTCCGCATGGCGTAAACAAGGCGCACCTACCGCTTGGCTGGCATCCCCTCTGTTGTCTATGAGGAAATGGACTTGACGACTCAGAACGTAGGAGAGCGGATCCTTTGAGGCGGGTGTCGGCAGGGAATGTTTGGGCGCAGTACAGAGACGTGCAGACAGCCGCAATGCACAGAACGCCGGCTCTTGCCCCTGCGGTGTATCTTTTGGTCCAGGGCTCTTGTTTTTGTTTGCCCCGTACATATTCTCTTGTGCTTACCTTTTCCATCGTGTCCTCACGGTATGATCAGTGCCTGCCCCGACGACTCCTTCGCAACATACGAAATGACGCACCACGCGCGATGTATATACACCACAGCAGTCCCGCGACTACTGCTGTTGTTGTGGCTACCCGGCTACCAGAGCAAGATTTGGGTCGCGCACCGGAGCGGGTGCACACAGGCCAACGTCTCCGTCGTATGGACACATGTAGCCTGAATACACGGGCGCGACCGAAAGGACGAAAGAAACCATGGTGCAACCCGGCGCACGCTCTGAACACACACCGCACACCATGTAACGTGCGACGCAGAACAAGAAGCTCAAGGAAGTGGAGGCCAGCAGGTCCAAGCTGGCAGAGAGCGCCAAGCGGGTAGACGCCCGGCGAAGAGAGGCAATGAGGCAGTCGGAGCACCAGCTGGTGAGGGTGCAGGCCCTGGAGAGGGAGCTGGAGCGGCAGCTGGGAATCTCAGACGAGCAGCGTAGACGGGTGAGTGAGGCCGGGCGCGCGCTCTATCCAGGTAGCGACTACACGCATACTGGTACTGCTGTTGGCGCCGGGATACGATGTGCGCGAGCGGCGACGGCGGCACTGCCTATCGAGCATGTTCTCCATGACTCAAACTCACAGCCCTATGCTATACTCCCAGAAGCGGTTGTCGCATGTGAAATTTTTAAGACACCACCGTAGACAACTAAAACATTATTTTCACATGGAACGGTGTCACGTTCTTCAGAGCTCTGATAAGGCGCGGTATCGTGTGTCGCGTATGTATGGTACACACAGGGAGGGGGCAGCGCCTAGAATCCAAGACGAACAACATCAGTACAGGCTACAGCGCAGCACCTGAGGTTATGCCGCATGGGTTACGCCTCACATCACTTCCCCCCCCCTTTGTTGTCACCCCGGTGGCATACACATGACCTAATATCATACACACACGGCACAAGCAACGCCCACCCGTGGTGTGCCTGAGCAACACACAGTAATGTGGAGACTGCCAACAACATGCATAGTCTAGGCGTAAAGATGACACAAGACCCTGCTGCCGCAGGCACTTCCGCGGCTCCGGGCCCGAACGCTGACCTGCTTTTTATTTTGTGCAACCGGAATACTCAATAAACCGCAAGGCAACGTCTGTTGCTACTGCTGCTGGGCTGCCACAACAGCACCCATCATTATTGTGCTACGCCCTCTTGTTGCGACGGCCAATTGAGAAACCCGCCGGGCTTTTGTTCGGTCCGAGAAACGGATCGAAGTCCCTGTCTTGTCATCTCTAGTATGTTACTCGTAATGTTTTCGTGCAGTGAAGGTGTGCTGTTGTCCGCCCCCGGGATAGGCGGGCCGCACATGGAGCAATGGCCCATGTCACCCTCCTCAGCATATCACCTCGCGCAAGTGTGACAGCAAGAGATCGCCGAACGTGGCCTTTCACAAAACATCTCGCTCCATGTGTCGAAAGGGTCAAGAGACTTCAACACAGATCATTTCCCGTGATACGAAACAGCAGTGCTCTAACGGCAAGATCACTGGGCACAGGATATTGTCGCGGGAGCCATCGACGCTTGGTTCTCCCATGCAACGCCCAGGCATTTTATTCGCGCATGCACACATGCGCGCACATAGCAACTCTCCATCCCCCGCCTGCCCTCCGTCGCACGTTTCTGGCTCGGGATGCCCTGCCCGTGCTTCCCCCCCCCCCTTCCCCCTTCGACTACACACATGTTTCCTACACAGGTGGCTGACACGAAGGAAGACTTGACCTTGACCAAAGAGGAGCTTCGAAAGACCCAGGTTAGAACGCAAGAGCACGGCTTCCCTACAGGTGCTGTCCAGAAGTAGCTGTGGGCATTCATCGTGCTTGTCCGAATAATTTCTTGCTCTCTTGTTTTACAGCTGTTTGGGCTAGCCTCCGCGACCGTGCAGAGACTGGATTCCCTGTCGTAAATGATCTCTGTCATGAATGGCCGGTGTGGAGATACCGCTGACCAACGGTTGGAGAGGTACAGTACTGTGGCCCCACTGCGTGGCACCACTTTATTGCTATTGCTTCGCTTCAACCTTGAGCGTCGTGTCTACCAAACACTCCGCTTTTTCCCTGCCCTCTCCCTTCGCTCTCCTTGTTTTTTTCCCCGAAGGTTGAGATGGCGTCAAAGGAGGCCTCGGCTCTGGAGAGGCTTGCCACAGCCCACGATGAGGCGTCGTCCCTGCAGAGGATGGTGGAGGGGCAAAGAGAGACAATCGTCGGACTCGAATCCGACAAGAAGGGTGAGCGAGAGAGAGAGGCGGCGGCGGTGGAGTCGACTGCTGTTGACACGGATCCGATTTTGACAAAGTAGATAATCCACTGATGGTGGAAGAGGAGACGCATCCTACTGCTGTTGGGGCTCTCGTTCTGCAGTACCAGTGCGCCAAAAGTGGGGTTTCTGGGGGGAGGAGAATGGGATCATGATGGGAACGTCTCCATAGGGAGGTGGGTGGCGGTGCAGCGTACACCAGGCTTTCGTACGCGTGGGTTCCAGGCATATACCATCTAACAGCAGCCAGATTGATACTAATCGTAGCTCGAGCTCCACGTCAGCGTTCCGGAAGCGCACACGTGGATATGGAAGACCCACAGCACTAGCCTATTGCGAGCCCTCCCCCCGATCCCGCCCATTAGAATGAACGACGGGCAGATAGTTGTATTGATTGGTCCTGTTGGTGTGTATGTCCTGTTGTGTGTGTGCACGGCGGCGGCAGGGCTGGAGGAGACGGTGTCCAGGAGGGAGGACGAGATCAAGAGCCTGGAGCAGCGCAAGAAGGATGTCGCCGCTCGTTCCAGGTGAAGGGGGAGACGTATATTTATGTTTACAGTAGTACATGGACCAGCGCGAAAGGTGTTCGTGATGATCGTTGCGGAAGCGATCGTGCTTCGCTGTGTACATGGCCTAGCGTAGAATGGCATCAGGCTGGAAGAGTACGCCGACGAAGGAAGGAGCGATCGGGGCAGAGACCGGGGCGGGAGCAGGATTATCTTCCGATGTGGTGTTAAGACCGTACATCCTCAGTTCTGTAGGACTCAAAGTAATGTTGGGAGACGGGGCGTGGGGGGCAGGTGGGGGGCTCACTCGCGAACACGGTTCATTTTTTCGGGGGGGTTGGTGTATACCATTGATCATGGGCTTTGATGCGACGCCGTCTCATCGCTTCCTGTTTCTCCCGGGAATAACCCCGACGGCAAGGTGCTGTTTCCCCCCATGTTGCCAGTTGTATTTTGCGCATGGTTCTCTGTTGCTCTCTCTGTCTTGGCCAGGCCCCCGGGGGGGTGGGGGGGGCTGTACTCATAGTCGTGCATGCCGCAGTCGTTAGACCATTGACCTCGCATCCCTACAAAGCCGGGACGGAGCACGCCGGGTTCTCACCGCACCAGGCTCTCACATCACCAAGCGCGAAGCGCCGTGAGATATTCGGCGAGTCGCATGAAGGGTGGGCTGCATCCTGCTAAGGGTGTTCGGCATCTTGTGCTTACTGCGCTGCGTACGGATGAAAGCTGCGTATGACTGAATTTATCTTGTAGTGCTTTCACTTCCAGATACAGTTGTAAGCACTGTGTAACTGCCTCGAGGGTGCTTGACCAATTTAACACAACGTGGTGCGATCATCCCCCTTGCGCGGAGTGAGGCTTCTCCACCCCGCACAACATGATCCACTCGACCACCATTATGGTTACCGCCGAAAAAAAAGCAGAGGAAAAATAAAAAGAAACGGTAACCTGGTTGCCGAGCTCACGAAGTGAATTGGCTTGTTTTACAACGTCGTTGCCAAGCGACGAAAACCCAATCCCGATGGTAAACACCGGGGGGGGCGGCTTGTTTTACAACGTTTTTGCCAAGCGATGAAAACCCAACCCCGATGGTAAACACCCAGGGCCCCCGGTGGTGGGACAGTGGGTGTGTGGGTGGGTGTGCTTGCAGGAGTCTGGCGTGAAGTTGCCGTTCCGACAACTATCTCATCCCGCTTGCAGCCTTGCATTTGGTGGTACAACGTGTGCCACACACCTACAGTAGTGCAGACTATGGTGGTGTGCCGGGCATTTCATCTCTGCCTCCCTCTCTTTCCATCACGTGCACCACCCCTCTAAGCCCCCCCCCCCCCTTCCGTTGCCACCGCCTTCTCCTGCCGCTGGTGTGCGTGTGTCGGTGTCGGTCGCATCGATAGAGAGATGAAGAACCACCTGGAGAAGCTCTTGCTAGACTCTCAGAAGTCCCAGGCCGACCTGGCGGTGAGTGAACGACCCGCACAAAGTGGCAGCGATCGCCTTGCCTGTTCGGGTAGGATTCCCTGATTCTTGGGGGGACGGATGGCCCACACGCGTTGTCATCGTTTGTGGTGTTATTCAATGGTGTTATTGGTGTTCTTGGCGAGAGTTGAACTGCCGAAAGTCTACCAGCGTTGGCCATAGTTCCTGCGTGAAAGCACGTTGGTCGACGTGTAGTTCGAAGGGAAGAGATGGGCGATTCTGTGCGAACACAATGGGCGTGCTCTTGGTGTCCCTCGAGATTCAAGAGGAAAAGAGGAAGATGAACTACTCGCACACCTTCTGTGGCAACAGCCGTGGAGCCAACCATCGAGCGTTTTTGGTGCCAAAGAGTATTGCCATTCGACCACCGCACAATACATCTCCGAAGGACAGACGAAGACTCACTCGTCTTGGCAGTCTGTGTTGGAGTTCGTTACAAGCGAGATGCAAGCTCGCGTCGTCGAGAACACGAACCAAGAACACCTGCGAGCGCCTGCGCGTTGATGTGCACAGCATCGACGGAACCGTAAACGGCTGACCAGTGAGCGTCGGTGCCATCCATGTACTTCCCCACCTCCGGCACATGGTCAGAACGGTGAAGGTGACCGAAGAGAGATTGACCAAGAGATGCCCACCCCGCCTCCCGCCTCTTCTTCCTTCCACTCAGGGCCAACGCGCGACGCTGGAGGCGGAGCTCGGCAAGCTCCGCCGACGGATGGACGAGCGGGCGAAGATGGCCTTGGAGGAAGAGCGTAAGACCACGAGGCTCGCGCGAGAGTGCGGGAACTTGAAGACCGAGCTCGAAGCGGTGGGTGGGACCTATGAATAAATAGCTAAATAGCCTGCATGTGTGTTGTGGTGTGGTGTGAGAAGTGTCGTCATCTTGCAGGTGTTGTGTTTTGTCATGCGTCTGTGGTAATAATAGGTTGGTTCCTTGGTACATTTTTTTGTCCTCTACTTCATTCTTCCCCCCTCCGCTTCGTCTTTGGAACCTTTCCAGCCCGGCCGTCCATCTCGAACCCCAAACACGGACGGGGAGACGACAAGCCAAGAACTGAACGCTGGCTTAAATCTTGTCGCGCACGCTTGAGAGCATCTGAACGGTTGTACGGCGGTGTCTCTATCTGTCAGGGGCCGGGCCAATGCTTGGTCTCGAAAGGGAGATATCTTCCTTCCCAATGATTACGTGATTCACCGCACGCATCCACCTCCCTGTCTTATATTTCCCTGTTTGGGTCCCCCTATCCGTTGTGCGTTTTTGATCACTGTTCCATCTTATTAGGCACGCCAAGACATCACCAGCGCCTCCGAGGAGCTGGCCGCCGTCCGCCTGACCAAACAGGAGGCCGACGAGGCTCTGCTGGAGAAGGACAAGGAAAACAGCAAGGTGCGCCGAAGCCTTTGGTTGTGTGCACGTAGCCAGCCAGGCTCTGTCGAAGAGCCCGGCCGGCAGAAGAAGGGCCACTACTACATTCCTCTCTTATCGTTGGCGTTGCCGTCGTCGTTTGTTGCTGTTGTTGCTGTTGCTGTTGCCGTTGTTGTTGGTGGTGGTAGTGGTGGTGGTTTTGTGCGATCTCGCTGTCATTGCTGGTGTTTCCGTTTTCGTTGCCGTTGCCGTTGTCGTCGTCCAAGGGGCTGGTGCCATCTTGGAATACAGGAGGTACCTCTCTTTGTTGCTGCCGATAACTCGCTGCTCGATAGGTGGTACGATCCTCACGCGCCATGGCTGTCCCTGGCGCGGCCTGTTTCATCCGTCGTTGTTGCTTTCAAGCATGTTTACCGTATGTGACACAAGATAACACACCCCCTTGACCAATTTTCGAAGCTCGATTTCTCGACTGCAGGAACAGTCACAGCGCCGAAAACGGCGGCGTTGAAACCGTTTCGTCGAGAGCTTTTCGAATATTTATCGTTTCGTTTATGCATTCCCTTCGTCGTGGAGTAATCGAGCTTTGAAAATCGATCCAAGGGGTGTGTTATCTTGTGTCATATATGGTAGGTCGGCCTTTGCATCATCCGTTCCCGCCGGCTCGCCCGCCTGTCTCTCTCCTCTCCCTTAAGCAGCTCCGGAGCAAGAACGAGAGCTTAAGGGTGGAGATGGACCGACGACTTCATGCTCTCAACCAGGAGAAGGGAGACCTGGCAGAAAAGTGAGAAGAAGAGAAAGAGAAAAAGCAAGAGAAACCTTCACTTTTCGATCACGGCGGGCACTCGCCGGGGGAGGGGGAGGAGGTTCGCCCATCGTGGCCTGACCGGTTGGCTTGCCTTGTTGCATGGCAACAAGTGGAGCATTCCGTAGTGGCGCCTGAAGGCCTTCGTCTCTCACGCCTAAAAGTTGGTGATACACTTTTACGATTGTTGTGTCCCCGCCTGGCCGAGGTGCTCTGCCCTGTCACACGGTGGAAGACAAGTCGCGGCAGCAGCGTTGGTTTACGGTTGGTTCTCGCTGGTTGTATGCACGTCAGGGTAGCATGCTCCACTCCCGTTTCATCGTGTCGTTATTTTTGTATTTCTCGGTTTATACAGGAGACCCTCCCTCGTCGTGATTCTTTTTTTTCTTTTTCTGTTCGCTAGTTTCGCTACACGTCTGATGTTGTTAACTGCCAAAACGCCCTTGAACAAACTCCGATACTGCTGAATGCTAAAACACGCTTGACCCAGGATGGAGGAATCGATTCGGGAGCTGAAGGATCGGGAGAATTTACTCCACGGCCAGGTGTGCTATGACAGAATTTTCGGTTCGACATGGCATGACGTGCCTGCCGTCTCCGGGAAGAAATGAAACCGAACACATCTCGTGCCACTTGCCAACGTTCGAGGTGTAGAGCAAACCTTTACCACTACTGTCGGTTCTTGGGGAAGTTGTTGACGTTGGCTTGCTGGTGTGACTGCCCTGAATCTTTCGCGCTTCATCCACGCATTGACTGCGTAGGACAAACGGTGGGCGTTCTTGAGGAGGGTAACGTTGGCACATGCAAGCAACAGCTGGTAGAAGATGGTGCCACACCATTTTTTTTCTACTGCTGCTTTTCGCCGTTGTCTGCCTACTTCGTATGAGATGAGATTAAAACAACATTCCCAAACGTGCATTGCTCTCTCGTTATTTTCTTCCGCCCAAAGCAATTTGTTCCATTCACCAAGACAACCCCCCAAACTTGACGTGTGGTTCATTGATCCAGCTGGAAGCCACGGGAAGGGAGAACAAGGAGATCCAGGAGGCGCAGGCGGCGGAGATCAGCGAGATGGAGGAGCAGCTGAGGCTGGCCAACGAGGACAGGGAGCGCTTGAAGGCGGACGCCAGGAAGGCGAAGGCACACAGCAAGGTAGGTAGGCGTGTGTGTCGGTCTGCCTGTATTGACACATTTTCTGTTTTGAGAGTTGAAGACGAAAAGCGTCACCGAGTTAGCTTACTTTTCCCTCTCTTGACACGCTGAGCTCGATCTCACTTTGGCTCTAGTACATGTCTCCTCTCACGATACTTGGTACGGTAAATAGTACAACCAGTTGAGTGTTGTATTACTGTATCAGCTTTTTTTTTGTGTTTTAATATTGCGGTCCCATTTTTTTTTTTTTTTCCTCTGCAGGCTGTGTTTCGATGCTCGGGCGTGCCTCTATTTAGATTTGGATCCTCCGAAGGCCCAGACGAATGAATCATTGGCGACGCGCGAAAGCGTCATCACCAACTAGTTTTTCAGCGTTTCTCCCAGCCGATACAGCTCGTGTGAGGTGCACAAGGCGATGAAAGTGTTGCCTGTCAGCGTTCATTGTCGTAGTGGTAAGCATCGCAGGAGTTCTGCGGCGATTGCTGTGTTCCGCCTGTGTTCCGCCTGTGTGCCGCTGGGTTTACACAGATAGGTCTCGACTTTGACCTTGCTGTCGCGGTTACCGGTTGAATAGACTCGTTCGTTGACATCTGATTGTGCCTTCTCATCTTCGCCTCCCCTCTGGTGGCTGCTGCTGCTGCTGCTGCTGCTGCTGCTGCTGCTGCTGCTGCTGCTTCTGACATTGGTGCTGTCGTCCAGTCGGAGGCTAGGTGGCGGGCGAGAGCGGAGGATGTCATGGCGGGCAGAGCGGCGGACCTTGAGCGGGCGAATGCTGAGGTGGGGAGGGAAGGGGGGGCAACGGAAGCTTGTCTTTTCGGACGTGTCCACTGTCAGTGTGGTTCTGTTCCTTCCTCTTGGTGCTGCATCTTTCTCCGTGGAAGCATCGTCCTAAGACACGCGTGCAAGAGAGTCGGTCGTGTGTTCTTCGTCCTGGTATCTAATGTTGTCGTTTTACCCCCCACGACCGTCTCGAAAACTCGCTTCATTTGTTGCTATAGGCAAGCGTGAAATGTGCAAGAAAAAAATCATCCATGTCTTCTTGTACTGCTGTACTGATGTTGTCGTCTTACCCCCCGTAACACTCTCGAAAACGCGTTAAAGGTTGCGGCGATGAAGCACCAGGGCGTGGAGCTGCGGCATATGGAGGCCGAGAACAAGGATCTAAAGGCCCGGATCGAGAGGCAGGAGGCCTTCCACAAGAGGAGGATGGAGAGAGAGAAGAGGGAAAAGAGGGCTGGACGACCTGTGTCCGGAGGGTGTGGCAGAGTGCCACCCGGGCCCGCTGGCGGCGCTGCGTCCGGTAAGGACGATACGAAGTGGGGTACTTTGGTGCATGCGTGGCGCAGGAGTTGGCGATCGTCCGAAGTCGTGGATGTAACGTAGTGTATGCGGCATGTTTGTCGGTGTGTCGAAGGCACGCGCAGGTTTTTTCATCCAGTCAGTCCGGCCCTCCACGTTGTGGTTGCTGTAGGGAAGTAGTTGTTTTGCAATATTGGTTGTTGGTGTTGCTGTTGCAGTGATCGCGATTGGAAGCATGATCGGTAGTTCCGTACGGTCGGTGGATCGTCTCGTGCACCAATCCCCCGTTCGTTGTATCAATAGCTTGCTTGTCTCTTGACGAACCACATCTCCAGGATCCTAGAACGCACCAGGCAGTCGGTCAGACTGCAGTCTAAACGGCACAATGTGTGTGCGTGAGGGAATGGCTGCGTCACGTTTCAGCCATTTCCAATGTTGCACATGGTGTGTCCCCCGTTCGGTTGTTACCCCCACCTCCTCCCCGGTGCATGTCCCCGGCGCCTGCGCCATATTGCCGTTGTTTTTTTTTGTGCCTTGCATGTTACGGTTGTTCATTGGTAGCCTCGTAGTGGTTTCGTTGTTCCATGATTCGTGGTCAACCAACTCGATCAACGTCTGCCCAAATATCAGCAATTTAACGACGACAAATCTAACCAACAAAATAATATTAAAAACAGGGCGCGCGGCGGCTCAACTACTCCCCTTGCCGCCGCTGATGAGCTACGGCGAGGACGACGCCCGCGGCGGGAGCCGAAGGCTGTCGATGACGCCGACTTCGGCCACACGAGGAGGAGATGGCGATGACGGCGGCGGCGGCGGCCGCGAGCTGTTCTCGTCCGAACGGCCTCGCTCCGCTTCTGAAGCTCACGGCAGCGGCGGCGGAAGCAGCCCTTGCTTCTTCTCAACAACAACGACGACGACAACGACAACGCCGTCGAACCACGCCGACAAGGAGAACAGGGTCCAGGAGCAGCAGGCAGCGGCGGCCCAGCGAAGAGGAGCCCCTGCGTGGGAGGGCAATGGCGGCGGTGCCGCCGACTGCGAGGCTGGCGCCGGCGGCGGCAGAGACGTCAACGGTAGTGACAGCGGTGCGTTTACCGACGACGACGCCGCGGGAAGGGGCGGTTGTCGCGCTCCTGCGAGCGGGGGACGCCTGAAAGCCGGCGGTCTCAGCAGCAGCGGAGTTAACAGCAGAGGGCGGGGATTGTCGTCGTCGGGAAGCAAAGGCGGGGGAGTCGGCAGGGCTACCGTCGCTAGCGCTGCTGCTGCTGCTGCTACTGCACAGCCCCTGGAAAGCAGCAAGATCAGGCGCGTGGCGAGGTCGCCGGCGACGCGCGGGTTGCACGAGGCCGCCGGCGGTCGGCACGCCACGGCCGCCTCCTCGCGCTCGTCTTCTCGCGGAAGGTGTGAAAAGGGACACCACAACCTGCCAAACGATTTGTAGCCCCGAGCTTCCTTCCCTCGCCCGGTCTCACGCGTGCGAGCACCTTCGCACGCCTCGTTACTTGCCGTGTTACTTGTGTGCGTAATTTGGCTCTCGTGTTTACGCAGCCCTGATTGTTTCGACTACTACCCCTACCGCCGCCGCCACCGCCTCCCTACGACAAATTGTTTTGTGTTTCTTTTTGCTGTCTCTGTTGTGCGTTTGTTGATGGTCGCAGGAGCGCCGTGGCGGCGAAGGTGGGGGGCCCGCGGTCGTCGAGCCTAGGTATCCAGTCCCGTGCCTCCTCGGGGTGGCGGTGAGGGGGCCTAAAAAGAGACACGGGGTATTTTGGAGGGGCGGGGCACACACTGGGGATGGGCGCTGCAATGACGTGGGTCTAGCTAGGACACGGTGGGGGGGAGGGGGTTGAAACCGACGGGGGCCGAACCTACCTCGCTCCCGAAAGGCTACACAGTATTAAAGTAGGCGGTACGGGGGCGAGGGCGGGTGGCGCGCTCTTGTTGCTGCCATTTTTTTGTGTTTTTTTCTCGTTCCTGCGGTACAAGTGTCGACGCCATCTCACTCGTTCCTGCCGTGCAAGGGGCGAAGAAGCAGCACGAGATAGGACCCATGCATTATTGTATGCGTACAGTAGTCTTCATCTTGGTTGTTGGTCGGGTTTCGGAGAGGGGAGGGACGCCATGGCTCGGTGTAGCGTGTGGCGCGAGGAAGGGAACGAAATAGGCAACGCGTTTCATTTGCCTTATTTCTGATTGTCGGCCGGCTGGTGGCAATTGTGTTTTCCGGGTGGGGTGGGGGTGGGGGTGGGGGCGGCGTTGTGGTGAGGGGCGGAGGGCTGGTTGTGTAGCTCATGCATTAGCGCGTTTTGTGGTCTTGAAAGTCCGCTACACGCAGGGCGATACAAGTAGTCCGGTTGCTCGGGGGGGGTGAACAATGAAAAATGCCTGTTTTTTTTTTTCTCTTATTTTTTCATACAAGTCTTTTAAGCAGGGTGGGCGGAGGTGAAATTTGTGAAATGAGGAGAGAAAGAGGATCGAATTCTCGAAGAGTGGTCGCTGTGGCTGTGGCGATTGTTCTCACCTTCGACCCTTCGATCCTTGCACTCGAAGAACCAGGCTGAGACCTTCTCTGTCCGTCTTCGGATGATTGCAGGGGTTGGAATGGAAAAAGTTCAAGTCTCCAGCTTTTCTTTTCTTTTTTCTTTTGTGTGTTGTTTGCTGCTGAGCGGGGCATGGCGGCCGATGTTCTTGTGGTCTGTTCCTCATTGGTGACTGCAGCAGTTTTCTCGCTCGAACGGCGCTTTACTTAAGTTTTGCGTGCCGGCTTCTTGGCTGCTTGCTGCTTCCATGTGTCCATGCTTCCTTGTTGCATCAGTCTGCCCTCAGTACCATACTCTGATGATATTTCATCGCACCAGGTTCACGTGCCTTGTTGAAGCAGCAATGATCCTGATCGGGCACATAACTGCTGCTGTATACTACCTTCGGTGGGCTTGGCGCCTACGGAATGGTGGATGCTGCACCGCACGTGCTTCTTCTGGCGCCACCCCCTCTGCGCACGGCTATGATAGGACAGGGCACGGACAATGTGCAGTGGGGGCGGGGGCAGCAAGGAGAAACGACAGCCCACGCATATTTGTATTTGGCCCCATGTTCTGCTCTCTCTCTCTTTTCGTTTGGTGTTTGGTACGGCCACGTTGGCGGCAGCTGCAGTTGAAGCTGTTGCAGGTTTTGTTCCGTGATTTTCTGACCGCCACATGTACTTTGACTCTTCGCATCTTGGATTGCCGATCCAGTCCTGTACCGAAGGGATCCGCCTTTTCAAGGGGGGGGGGGCAAATGGGAAGTGGGGGGGCTGGCACGGACCCCCCAGGATATACATATTCTCGTGATGATCCTTGGCTAGTACATCGGATGCTGTTGAGCTTAGCGTCGTCTTCGAACCAGCCTCCTATCCATAGGTTCCCTATGGTACAGTACGCCTCGACATGTACTTAATCACATGCCATGCTGCCAATGCGCGCGGTTGGCTCTTGTTCTCCCAGAATGCTGTTACTGCATCAAGCAAATTATCTTGCTGTTTTCTTGCAGAAGGCATGACCTGCATGACCTGAATTAACAGAACATAGGACATGACCAGCAGCGTGTCTCGCTTCATCGAAAGGGCGTGCACTACAGTACATGTAGCACAGCGAACGAGAGAGCGCCTCATCACCATGGGTGCTGTGAATGTTCTTACCCTGAGGCCTCACGTATGCATTTGCATACATACGTTCATTTTGTTCATCTCAAGATCTAGCCTAGGACGTACACGTGATGCACCACCCGGTAATAAAAAGCGAACGTGAAACGAAACAAGGCAACTAATACAATAACAGTTGTTGCCGAGCAAGAAGCCGGGCGGGCCGGGCCGCCCGAAAGAGCTTCTTCGAAACTTGAAAATAGTTATCCACGGCCGGCCCATAGTTTCCTTGGGTGTTGGCCGCTGGGCCGGCTGCAACTAATCTAACTCCACGTGACAGGTCTCACACCTCAAGACATCAAGAGGAAGAGGGGGGAAATGCAAATCGGCACCTGCCTTCCTTCTTACTCATGCACGACTTGTATTTTTGTCGAAACAGCAGCTAGAACAGGCTGCCCAACATCTCCACCCAGTTCCGCTTGGCCCCGAGCGCTCGATCTGGCGCCGCGGCGGCCTTCTGCATGCGAGGACGCCGCTCCGTCACCGACATCGAGGCGAACCGTCTTCGCGTGTCCTGCCGAACGAAATGAACGACCGGATCAACACCGATATTTGGACTTTGGTCATGTGTAACCGTGAGAGAGGGGGGTGGGGTGGCGGGGTTACCATGAGCTGTAAATCGAAGTTTAATGTCCATCGCCAACCCATGTGTGGCTGTTAAACTGAGTGCAATATACTTCCGAAGTATGAAGTATTCCAATTTCTATTGTACCGTACCCTGAGACTAGAAGGTTACTACGGTAATCCGTTGGTCGATCTTCACTGATTGTGAAGCAGACAACAAACGACAATAATAGCCCCACCAAGATCAATACTGACGACACGGGCGTGGTAAGCCAGCAATCGACAGCCAGACGCAACGTGGCCGGCATACAAGCCCGATCACACGCATCTATGTACCTACCCTCAATCGCGGCATACTTCCTTTCGTCTTGCGAAACACAAAAAAGCTGTCGACATCGGCACGGTGAAAAAATCTCCAACGGCAACGTCAAGACTCTCGTCCAGTCCGACTTCCACGTGCTGCCACTGCTGTGGATGCGCACGCCGTTACGCAAACAAACCTGGTTGCTCTGAGGCTGCGGCAGCGGTGCGGGTATGTTGAGCATCTGCCTCATCCCCGCCGGAACGGCCGCAGGCGCGTTCCCGTTCGCCCCCAGCTCTCCTCCCGCTCCGTCGAGCCCCTCCGCAGTAAGGCTGTCTGTTGTTGTTGTTGTTGTTGTTGTTGTTGTCGTTATTACAAGCGTCGACATTGGTTCTCACGTGATATCAGGTGGTACATTGCTGGGTGGCCTACTGGTGATGTGCATCATCAAAACGCAACTGCGGGAGGGTGCCACATTGGTTTACCGCAGCGGCGCGACTTACTCGTGAACAAAACATGCACCGCAGGGCCTCCAAGGCTTACCCGCCGTCAACACGGATACACACCGGTTCGGAGCCGCGAAGCTACATTCAGAGGACTCCACAGCACATTATGAATAGTCTAGAGCGTTGCATCATCCCCTTCAACAACAGTTTTGTTCTGTAGTAGTACAGGGCAGACAGCAGTGGCAACATGGTGGTTCTATCGAAATTACCGAAGGGGCACGCCTACAATCGAGCACGTCGTCGCCATGCCCCTCTTGACAAAAAAACATTGGGCGGTGCCGTGCCAGCCTCTACTAGTAATCCACAATCCATCCCCCCCCGCGCGCGTAGGAATCAAAAACGCCGCACGAAGCACGTTGCGGTCGTAAGGCAACCCGGCCCCGGCAGCCCCGTCGCTTTTCTCACCCAAGAACAGCGCGTCTCCCATGGTGGCGGTGACGTGATCTCGCTCCCCGAGAGCCACCTCTTGGGCCTCGAGCTTGAGCTTCCTCGCGTGCTGCTGCTTGCGCGCCTCCTCCAGCTGGTTGTAGTGCTTGCGGCTCTCCTGCCACGGCAGTCCGGTCCGAGACGAATCGGCGCGGGCGAGAGAGAGGCGGGGGGTGGGGG